TTATTTGCTGAATTCCTTTTCATTCAATTCTCGCTACGTTGTACACAGTATCATGGTCACCTCTATTAAAAAGACTGCGACAAATTTATCAAGCTCATCAAAATTACGATCTTAGGTTTTATAAGCTAAAGGTAAATGGCCAATTCCGAAGTAAATCCTGATTCACAACTCGCAAGAGCATCCTTCCTTTGGAGAAAGATCATACTAGAACTAATATCTAGTATCGAATTCAGTTCTTGGAAACACTTGCTCGTCAGAAGATCTGCTTGAGATTTTAAAGAGATAAGTGTTATTAGACTTTATTTCTGCGAGATAGGGGGAGAAAATTTTACAATGTGGAAATGATTAATCAATAGAATTATGGACAAACCCCAAAAAATAAAGAAACCACAAACACGCCCCCGAAAATATGAAATTTACTAGTAATCCCCTTAAAATCTAAAATTGCTAAAAAAAAGCCATCTAAAAATCTAAATATTGCATGCAGACCAAAGAAATAGGAACAAACAATGATCCGAAAATTTTCAATGTACAATTAGGTCCATATATAAGCATAAAGTTGCAAACAACCTCATAAATTTGAAAATTAAGACAACCACCTCAAAAGTCTAAAAATTATATACAAAACCCTGAATATTATAAATAACCATGGGCATGATGCTTGTATAATTGATATAATTTGAGTTTGATAACAATAGATACTAATAGGGATGTCAGTAAAGGCTTATAATTCTAGATCTGCTTAAATGTAATTCAATGGAGATTGTCCACAATGGAGATTTTGTTTAACTGTAAATTCTGATATGTGCATACCCATAAGGGAGTTTTTTTCCAATTAAAAATAAGTTGGGTTAAATAAAAAAAAAGGTGTTGGAATTTTTACATACATACCCCTCAAACCTTTAATATTTACAAACTTTTTGTTTCTTTACTAATTATTATAGACATTGAAATTTAAAGATAAAAATAATTCCTAATTATCCAATCCTTATATTTTGTAATGATGTTGTAATTTGAAAATATTAGGATAGGATAACAATTTTTTATGTCTTTACTAATTATTATAGATAATTAAATTTAACGATAAAAACTAACTCCTTATTATCAATTTCTTATCTCTTAATTTAAAGATGTTAAGATTGGGTAGCAACTATTTATCCCTTAATAATTACCATAAATAATTTAAATATAAAGATAAAAACCAACTATTATCATTTTTTTATCTTTTGTCTAAAATTGCTATATATTTAAATATTTTTACCCTAATTTCTCAATATCATTATTTTTATTAATTAGGATAGGATAATAATATCTAAAAGGATCAATGTTATTTTTGTCCATGGAAAGGTTTTTTCTCCAAAACTCACTTATAAGGAGTTTAGTTCTTGTGCACATGCAATGCACGTGGTTAAATATTAAAACTATTTATTTTTTTGTTTATTTTCTTACTATAAAATTAGTTAGATTCATTTTGAGTGAAAATCTATAAAGATGGATTATTACATTTGCCATAATTGTTATTTAAACATTTTTAAAAAATTTATGAAGTAGATTTGTGCACAAAACTAGGATCAATATACTTTTATATACTTGCATACACAACATTATATTTTTAAATTTGTATATATCAAACTTCATGTAATATATTTGTTTATCGGATCAAATCATCGATCTCCAATTTGTTTATCCTAGTCATTAAATGTAGTGTTAAGTTTGAAGAAAATACAATAATATATTATTAATGTGTTATAAAAATATAACCAAATGCTTAATATTAAGATGGTTTGTATAAGCTCAGCACTAAACACATACTTTTCACAAGACTACAAGACATATTAATTATTTGTAAACTTAAAATTTAAAAATAAATACTAAAGATTAATAGTAACTCTAGTATAGTTTTATATGACAAAATCATTAATATATGCATATTAAAAAATTTGCATGAAAATCCCTTCTAAAAATTCCTAATTTTACTCAAAAATTAAGTTTTACCATAAAATATTCAAAAAATATTATCTTTTGTTCCTTCTTTTTTCATATTTAATTGAGCCGAGATCAATGCTTCTCCACATTTATCTTTTTTCTGGGCAATCTACAGTAGTGTCTTTCATCATTAATTGTGATATCAGGTTAGTACATAATAAAGAGCAAAAGACAAGACAAGAGTCTAGAAATATATTATGATATACTTGGATCAACCAAATTATATTATTACTCATAATTGATACGCATCAGAAACAAAATATCTTAAATTATAGAACAAACTGCATGGGCCCTCTAACATAACTGTTTTAATGCAAGCAACCCTCAAGATTAGTTTTGAAAATCTCTTGGGCCTAGGAATAAACAAATAACAAGTTTGTAGTAGAAGATAGGGGAACATAGTACATTCTTAAGAATTATTAATCTTTACTTAATTTATTTACAATGACATGATCTCATTATTAACTAACTGCAAGGCCAAGTATATTATTTTTTTATTAGGTGTTCAAGGCAAGAAGAGGATGCAAGTGAGTACTCATCACGATGAAGTACAAATAAAAAAGGAGGGTTGATCAGTGATGTAGTTGGGGAGGAGGAAACTCCAGCACCTCTAGAGCATCTCCAACAGCTTCCCCATTTTATTGGTATTCTCATTTTTAGAGAATTTTGAGTTTTTTTTGGTCCAACAGATTCCCCAAATCTGCAGCATTTTGCAAATTTTTGTAGAGAACTTTGTCATAAATGTAGCACATTCTTTAAAACGGGATGGAGGAGAAAATAAATACAAAACAAAATCCGTAATTACAAAAAAAGCCATGGGGGCAGTTCCAATGCATAAGAGTATCCCAAAATAGGGATGTAGAATATTTTTATTATTGTAATAAATACAAGATTCTTCAAAATAGGGAAGCTGTTAAAGTTAGAGCAAAAATAATTTGGAGAATATGATTTTTGCTTCCCCATTTTGAAGAATTTTTTGGGGAAGCTGTTGGAGATGCTCAACTTGGGTATGTAGATATATTATAGATGGAGATGGAGAATTGTGGTTTTGAAAACAGTGGCTGCGTGTGGGTAATTAATATGATTTTTATTTTGTGTAGTTTTCTTCGTTCATTTTTAATATATTTGTCGTCCTGTGGATATATATAGCTATAACATTGCTACTCTCTTTTGGAAGAGTTTGGGTGCAAAAAAATTAAATTATCTAATCCGGTTAAAGTAGGATCATATAGGTTAAGCTCATACATAAAATTTATTTTAACCAACACCCATATATAAGCTTTACAATTGGCATTAAGATCTAAGATATGTGTGAGATTCTTTTTGACTTTATATAAATATTATCTATTTAAATAATAATTGTATAATTAAACTTTGTGATCTAGAAAAAAAGATCAAACATGCAATATATATAATTGCTTTAAAATGATCTAATTCAATCTAATAAGAAGAAACTAGATGAAGTAATGTGAAAATTGTTACAATTTCATAATTCATAGATTTTAAACAATCTAATCTAATCTAATCTAATAATCTATTCTAATAAGAAGAAAATAACAAAGACACATACCTGTTAAATGAGATAAAAGTGCTATAAAAATTATTACAATTTTTAATTTTAAAAAAGAGATCAACATATAATATAATTAATCATTTTAAATAATCTAATCTAATCTAATAAGAAGAAAATAGATAAAAGTGTTGTGAAAATTATTGCTATTTTTTGATATGAAAAAAGAGCAAATATACAATATAATTAATTGCTTTTAAATAATCTAATCTAATCTAATAAAAAGAAAATAACAAAGGCACATACTTATAGAAGGAGATGAAAGTACTACGAAAATTATTGTAATTTCTTAGCTTATGCATATTGGTATGTGATGTTGTATTTTAGAGGATAACAATTATAAACAAAGTTGTATTTAAATAATAATAGTATAATTAAACTTCGAAACTAATTATGCAGTATCGTGAACTGCTTAAAATTTAGTCAGTGAGAGATCGCCACGCTGTGTCTTCAGATCGCAACCATTTGTTTTAATTTTCTTTTTTTATAATTTGAGAACTATTTTATCTCTTTAATTTGTTTGGTGGATTTTGTAAATACACAATCCACATTATGTACATTTGTAGGTCTGCGCTGTTCCTGGGTTCGACTTTTGGGATAAACATTATTTGTCTCATTAATTTGTTTGGTTTTTGCATATATGCCCTTCATCTTATATACATTTGTAAATTTGGCATTTTATAATTTTATTAAAGTTTACATTTCAATTTAAACTACATCATTATCTTCATACTATGTATATCCAATAAGAATTCATCAATTTATCAACTTGCTCTTACTATAGTATTTGAATTTTAAGGGTATTTTTTTTTTCTACCGAAAGATTTTCCCGAACTCGTGCTTTTAAAAGGAAAATATGGTTAATCTTAACCTAAGCTAAGACCTCAATTTGTAGAATGAAAATAATATGAAGCAAAAGCATGACGTCTACAGAAGAATAAATCTTAAACCATAAGTTCAAATTTGAAAATGAGAACAACATGAAGCAAAAACATCGCATCTCCTTGACTGACTCCTTTCACAAAACCAAAAATGTCAGCAAACTAAATACTATGTAGGTAATTTGCGCACACAATAAATAGCCTGGCACTTTTAGCAAAAACCTGCATGGCAAGAAAAAGAGCTCGGTTTTATCTTGTATTGTCTAAAATAAGAAAATGACTTCTTCTAAAATTAGATTGGCTTCTTCTAGAACATTTTCGTTTTGACTGGCTTGTTACATACTATTTCTGATATCATTCATTTGACCTTCATTAGAGTCCTACAAGTCTTTACACGTGAGTCCCAAGTTTAGAAGAAACCTCTCACATTAGATCAATGATTTTCAGAAGTACGGGACAAGCCAAAAATAGAGCCACGTCCTCAAGAAAGGAAGGAAATAATTCAAAACTGAGAGAAAACTAATACTTTCTCTCGCTGTTGCTACAATCCCAGAATCTCTTAGCAAATGACACATTGATCTGTACATGCTAATAGCAATACAGATGTAACACAGGAGTAAAAGCCCAATCCATTCAAGAAATCAAAACAGATTCAAGTCTCGTGCATGCATCTATATATACAAACTTTAGGGAGCAAGGGTCAGCTTAACAGCCTCTAGAATGGCACTTGGGGATAGTTTAATCTCCATTCTAGCGTTTATATTGGCGATCAATTCAGTGCTTACTGGGTCACGAGCAAATGCTGAGCGCAACAATTCACTAAGTCGAAGGAGCTTCCCTGCTGGATTTGTCTTTGGGACTGCGTCCGCAGCTTATCAGGTTGTAATCTGCGTTGCGAAAATTTTCAGAAAGTTTTAAGTCTTACGGAGATGATAAATTTGTTCATGTACCTGTTTTTTTATATGTTTAAGTTTGAAGGCGCGGTAAATGAAGGCGGGAGAGGACCAAGTATATGGGATAACTTCACACACCGCCATCCAGGTCTAAACTTTATCGTCCAAATGAAAAATTTGACGTAGATAAATTTCCTGCATTTTGTACAGCAAAGTGAGTTGAACATGGTCTATTCAGTAAAATGCAACACTTACTGAATTTTATCCTATATGAAGTGCGTTGTATGAATGATACGATTTTCTATTCGAGCAGAGAAGATAGCTGATGGAAGCAATGGGGATATAGCAGAGGATCAGTATCATCGTTATAAGGTAGTTTTGGCCTAGTGAATTGTTTTTCTTTCCGCTTCAAAATACTCATGGATGAATTTGCAGGAAGATATAAAGAGGATGAAGGAGATAGGTTTGGATGCTTATAGACTCTCTATATCCTGGACTAGGATCTTACCTAGTAAGACAGTTTAACTCATCGGTTGCTCTGTTCTAATTTAGTTTCTGGGAGGAATTCAAACAAACTAAAAATTCCTACCACGTAGAATAATGATGGCAAATGAGTTATAGATAAGAACATAATTCATTTTTTTCCCCTGAAAAATAGTGCATTTTATATACGAAAGTTTAAATCTTCATCTTTATGAACACAATTCTTCTGATAAAAATTTCAGAGAAAATCGCAAGGCATAAAGTCCCCAGCATTTCCTCAAAAACAAATTAATGAATTGATAAGAATATAGTCTGATCATTTCTTGTTGCAATCATTTATCTACCACCTAATCTGGCATTTCATTTTAGATGGGAGCTTAAGTGGGGGTATCAACCAAGCAGGTGTTAACCACTACAACAATCTAATCAATGAGCTCTTATCCAGTGGTATATTCATATTTATGGCAATCTGATTCCCATTGTTTTTATCTTGTAGTACGTTTGTCGCTAATTAATATTAATTAATCTATATCAACAACTGCAGGTTTGCAGCCCCTTGTGACCCTCAATCACTTTGATCCTCCTCAAGGCTTAGAAGATGAATATGGTGGTTACTTAAGTCGCCGAATTGTGTGAGTTGTTTACACATATTATTTTCATTATCAATTAAGTCGCCATATTTGTGTGAGTTGGTTACACATCTTATTTTCATTATCAATGCAATCTTTCCTTATTTTGAATAAAATCATGCAGGGAAGACTTCCTAGAATATTCTGAAATTTGCTTTCGAGAGTTTGGAGATAGAGTGAAGCATTGGGTCACCCTAAATGAGCCATCGATGTTCTGTACCTACGGGTATGGGACTGGAAGAGGTGCACCTGGGAGGTGCTCTCGTTGGGAGGGGAACTGCAGTGCTGGGGACTCTAGCAGGGAGCCTTACATTGCTTGTCATAACCAGTTGCTCGCTCATGCGGCCGCTGTCAAGCTTTACAGGTCAAAGTATCAGGTGCAAGTCTATGAAAATTATTTATCAGTGTGCATTGTAATTAATGAAAATAACGAGACGATAATTAGTAAAGGAGTTCAAAGAAATCATAGAATGACGATTCAAAGGCGCACCCAAAAATTTTAACTGCCACTGTAGTACGGATATTCTGATGTTTCGGTAACACAGGGAGAGACCCCTGTCAGGTAGAAAGATTAATCAGAGTCATCGTGAAAAAAATACTTGGCATACTTGATTGGAAAAAAGGATGTACATCAGATGTTTAATTTGAGACGTCACCAATGAAGTATTTCACCTTGTTTACCCTTTAATCAAGACGCTCGAGTTAATATGCAGGGGTATCAGAAGGGAAAGATAGGAATAAGTCTGAGCTGCAATTGGTTCTTGCCCTTCTCAGATTCAAAGCCTGACAGAGATGCTGCTCAACGGGCTGTTGATTTCATGTATGGATGGTGAGTCAGCGAGACGCTATAACTATGTAACTTGCATGATTTCACTACAAATGAGATTAAAACGACTACGATAACCACATGATAGATATTTCAGATCCAATGATCTTCCTCCTAACAAATTGTGCATCTTGTACGATACAAACAGGTTCATGGATCCCTTAACTGAAGGCGAATATCCAGTCATCATGAGAGAGCTAGTAGGAGATCGTTTACCAAAGTTCACCGAGGAGCAATCTGAAATAGTGAAAGGGTCATTCGACTTCATCGGTCTCAATTACTACAGCACAAACTATGTCTCGAATCTCCCAGTACTCTCTAACAACGTTCACGCAAGCTATAATTCGGATTTACATGTGAACGTGACAGGTGATTACAACAAAACCTACATCACCTCATTACCTTCCAATACTGACGGAGTGTTTTTGTACGATAGGGATTCGTAACGGGATTCCTATTGGTGGTAGGGTAAGAACCTAACAGAATTTTCAGCGTAAATCCGCTAACATCGAATCAATAACTTTGTGCTGATAAGTTGCAGACTGGAGTTAGCAGTTATTACAATTATCCACAGGGGTTAAGAGATGCTCTGCTCTACACGAAGACACGATACAACAACCCAACCATCTACATAACAGAAAACGGTAATTTATACTTACCCTGACATCTGGTGGCATAAATGTACTGATTTACAAATTAACATAGAGCTGCTTATTTCTCAGGGATGGCTGAGCCCAACAACAAGACAGCAACAGTTGAGGAATCAGTAAAAGACCGGGGAAGAGTACAGTTCTTCAAGGGACATCTCTTACATCTCCAGCAATCAATCAGGTGCTTAGCTACTGAACAGATCACAATAGTTGCATTCAAGATTCACTACGTACCACAACAACAACCAAGCCTTTATCCCAAACGTTTGGGGTCGGCTACATGAATCATATTTTTCAATTCTATTCTGTTACGAGTCATCTCCTCCGTTAAGTTAGTCCTAATCATATCCTTCTTAATTAATTGCTTCTAACCAAGTCATTCTAGGTCTACCTCTAGATCCCCAAGCCCCATTAACTCTAGTATTATCGCTTTTCCTACTCCGTTGTACGTGACCAAACGATCTTAACCCATTCATTACGCGCCGTAGAGTAAAAACATTATGAGAAGTGAATATTACCCTGTTATTTGTTTTATTAAGTAAAATAATAATAACAAAGCTTATTATGCAAAGCATCATGCAGAGGTCTTTAACGTTCTCTACGTATCGAGTTGCGAAAAGTTGTCATTTTCTCATGTTTTGTACACCAGAATAAAGATCAAACATTAGTTTAAGGCATCGTTTAAGAAAAGTTGGTTGGTGCAAAATATATCCGAAAATGTTACGATTTTACATTTTACTCCTCTTGGGCAGGGAAGGGGTCGATGTGAAAGGATACTTTGCGTGGTCACTCCTCGATGACTTTGAATGGGCTGGCGGTTATACAGTTCGCTTTGGCATCTATTACATCGACTACGAGGATGGATTGAGGAGATACCCGAAGAGCTCTGCGTTTTGGTTCCAAAGTTTTCTCAAGACTTAGTACACCGATTTCACTATGTGTTATCCATGTCAAATTCTTTTGACTCTACGGATGACGATGATGATTATTATTATTATTATTTATTACAATAAAAAGATGCAATGTGCTCACATTATCTCTCTTTTAACTGTGTTGTGAAGTTGTCTTTGTTTGCGTAGAATGTTGTCAAATGCAAATTTTTCTTATTCTCGCAAACATTTTCCTACAATTTCTACCTAATTCCACATAAATCAAACATGATTTAAAGAAATTGAGAGTGCCTGAGAGCAACTAGATCTATTCAATCAATTGCTACTTGACAGCCTCAATCGAAAATGTTGAGCATACCTTCAACAAAAATTTATTTTTCCTTGAGCTGAACCTATCGAGAAAAATCCGTAAAAAATTTGGTGAGACCAAAATTTTAGAATTAGGGATTTGTGAGGAAGAGGTAGGTAAAAAAACAAGTTTTGTGTAAAAAGTATATATATAGATATATATTTTACATATCTTCCCTCCAAATATAAGATATTTGGACGATTACCCTCGAAATAATTATATTTAACTGACTTAATTCGAGTCCATTTCCCAAGAGAATTCGTTATGCTACAGAGTATTACAACCTCTATATTTTACGGGAAAAGTTTGATTGCGTAGTTAGTAAACGTAGGTGTTATTATATGCGGCAAAGTTTAATGAGGCGATGTTTGGTTCGTTTCTTAGATATAGGAAAATGCAATTCCATGTAAAGAAACCTAAGTTTCGAGTTTTCTAAACTTTTACAAGAACAGATTCTTTTGGTTTGGATCGCACATAAAATAAGGTGGAAAACCAATGTATGTACATTTCTTGTGTTTGGTTTGTATGGAAAAAAAAGAAAAACTTTTGTTGATTTGACATTTACCACTTTTCTTGTGTTTGGTTGGTTTTGAATGTGTAGGGCAAAGTGTATATGGTCACCATGGTAAGATTACCCCCTACTAAAGACAAATTTATTTGTAATCGTTATATAAGGTAATCTTAACAAAATAAAAGTACGAATGTAACATGAACAAATAGTAAATTACTGAATTCATTATAAATATCTGTTTACCTTAAAAAATCATACGAAACCTGGAATAACATGATTCAATTGTTATGAACTGCGTACCTGATTTGACCTGAAATATATGTGTTTGAGATAAAAAAAAATCACACGAAACCTGTTTTCGAAGAAAAAAATAAACGAGACCTGTAAAACCCTGATTATTCATAATTTTATGAAATGCATACCTGAATTAGCCAGAAATTCTTATGAAACCTATAAAAACCATATAAACAATCTGATTAGCCATAAATATGTATATACCATAGCAAATCACATCAAACCTGGAAATACCAAACATGTATGTAATGGCTGAGGGCTCAGAATCTGGTCAATATCATCATTGTTAGCTATCCGATGTAATATCAATAGATATTACAGGTTGCTAATCTCAGAAATTTTGACAATCATCATAGCCTAAACAAAACTGCCTGAACACTTATCAGTTTATTCACAAATTATCAAAAATTTTAAGCAAACCGAAAATGATCACAAACAATAGGATTTCAGATCTCCTCAGCATAGTAACAAAAAATAGCCACGAGAACTCGGCAACGAGCACAAATAGCAACTAAAAACCCAACAACATAGAGCTAAACAATCTCGAATCAACATAGTAACAAAAACCAGCCACAGGAGCTCGACGACGAGCACAAATATCAACCAAAAACCCAAAAACATAGAGCTAAACAAGCTCGAATCATCATAGTAACAAAAAAATAGCCACGAAAGCTCGGCGACGAGCACAAATAACAACCAAAACCCTAACAACATAGAGCTAAACAAGCTCGAATCAGCATAGTAACAAAAACCAACCATGAGAGCTCGGCGACGAGCACAAATAGCAACCAAAAACTCAACAACATAGAGCTAAACAAGCTCGAATCAGCTTAGTAACAAAAAACAACCATGGGGAGCTCGAGGACCAGCACGAGTAGCAACCAAAAACCCAACAACATAGCGCTAAATAAGCTCGAATCAGCCTATTAACAAAAAACAGCCACGGGAGCTCGACAACGAAGCAATTTCAGAAGACGGTGACGAACACAAACAATAACTTTGAAAGATATTTTAGATCTAGGGTTTATTGAAGTTTATACCTTAATTTTAGCGACGAAGAAGCCCACAATAAAATCCAGGAGAAAGACGAAGACGGCGAAGATAGCGACAAAAAAATCGCGGGAGATTTCTGGCGGGAGGAGAGAGGCGAGGAGGTAACCCTAGCTTCGCGAAAAAATCATCGAGAGAATTAAGAGGGTAGTTGTCAGAGCGGTTAGGGTTTTCCTCGATTTCTCTCGGTTGGGGAAGAAAATCTGGGAGGGACAAAAATCCAAGGTGGCGGCGTTCTCAGCGGAGTTTTCACTCTTCAACCCTAGCGAACCAAAGTGACGAAAAGAAATGGCGGAAACAAAAATTCCAATGTGGAGGTGGTGTCAGGCGCATAAATGAATTTTCTTGGGCTTTTTAAGCGAACCAAACAACCCCTGAATGGAAAGGCACTTTTGGATAGTGAGTATGTCCTATGGAGAGCAATTTGGAGAAGCGAAGTACCTAAAAAGGTAAACATGTTTGTGCTGGGGAGCTGGTAAAAATATTTTGCCTACTTGTGACAATTTATCGCACCGTAGTATTCCTATTGAGGTAATGTTCCCTCCTTGTTACACCGGTCTAAACGGGCCAGGCCCGGCTCGACCCGAATTTTCAGGTTCTGATCGGAAAAAACACCTAGCTTAGGCCCGGTTCTGGATCCGAGATGCCCGAGCTGGGCCCGAGTCCGGATCCATGCCAAACTGGGTCGAGCTTCGGGTTAGCCCAGTTTTTTTATTTGATTTTTTAGCAAAAAAAATGCTAAAATTTAGATTTTTCTTATTATTTTTATATAAGTGCATTAGTATATACTTACATATTATTATATAACTATATAATACACACACATATACATACATACATACATATATGTATGTGTGTATGTATGTGTGTGCACACACACACACACACACACACACACACACACACACACACACACACACACACACACACACACACACACACATATATATATATACACACACACACACACACACACACACACACACACACACACACACACACACACACACACACACACACACACACACACACACACACACACACACACACACACACACATATATATATATATATATATATATATATATATATATATATATATATATATATATGGGAGAAGTGTTCCTAAGGTGACGCCTTAGATAATCATCTAAGGACGCGACCTAAAATCACACGATTAAGCTACATTGTGGGAGAAGTGTTCCTTTATGTATTGCTTTATTTTATTCTTAGGTTGGGATCAATGATTTGTGATTCACTACTTGAGACATATGGTATATACATGAGGGTTTTTTTGTTTGGATTATTTCGCTCGACGTACCAGTCTCGTGTTGTGGGTTTCTAATTGTCGATTTCCTTCAGCATGTTTATTCTTAGTTTAGTATTAATATTTAGTTATCTACAATTTGAGACAATGGTATATATATTAGGGTTTCCTTGTTTGGATTATTTCGTTCGACGTACTACGTCTCGTGTTGTATGTTTCTAAATGTTAATTCCACATAGATACATGGAAAATGATCTAGGTAGACTATGCTGATAGATAGAACATTCACTCCATCTAGTAGCCCTTCCCCTGGGGGCAGATGAGGTGATCTTGCTATAGTGCTCTGACACTCTTTATGTGGTTCTTTTTTTGTTTTCTCTTCTTTCAGGCAGTACAAAGATTCGGAGAGCCGCGGGATGACGAAGTTCTTGCATAGTCACCGTCACATGAGTTATTAGTAGAAGCTCAACAGTAGATTTTTATGATTTTATTCAGACTTTAGAGTTTTATTTTATATTGTAAAGGCAGTGTGCCGTAGTACGATTTCCAGTTGATTCATGATGAGATATTTATTCATTCCAGATACTAGATGTATTACAGTTGAGACATGATTTCTATTTATGAGATATCTCCTTCTATGTCATGTCTATTGTTTCTATTTCCTTATTTTGTCTGTTTTGTACTTGCACAATTATTTATTTCCACTAGAGGATATTACTGTGATTGGTGAAACATGTTTATGTATAGTGTGGGTGCATGGCAGGTTTGACATCTCCGAGTTCACCTTGGACTGCAGCATTGTGCGAAACCAAGGGCATCACAATGGCAAATTTGATGAGTTGTTCCTTGCTGGAGAAGGATTAGTATTTGATGTCAAGCATTGGTTTGTAGAGGAGTTTTGGTGCTGAGGTTTTGACATATTGGAGCCATCTTATTTACAGGTTGTCGTCTATCGCGATTAGAGTATTTGAATCTGGTGGAGCTGCTTCAGATTTTGGGTTGCTTCAGATAATTGAATGCCCAGCATATTGTCACATTGAGGATGTGAAATTTGATCCGAGTGCACACTTGGGATTCAGAGGCTTGTTTGGTTATCAGTTATGGGATTCTGATATTGTTCTGAGTAGTATTATCATATTTGACTCTCAGCAGGTAGAGAGTGTTGGACATATCATTAGGATATCGCAACGGGTGGTGACTGATGGTACTTCACGTTTAATGGAGATTACTCCTTGTTCTCCAGATCATTCTGTATAATTTGGGATTGTAGCTGAGGTGACACAGATTAGAGATCATGTTGGTATTGATATAGATGATGAGTTTGTTGATTCGAGTGCAGCTGATGGACACAATTCGGATTTGACTATGGCCGTTGATTGACCTCAGTTGGAGGTGTTTGGTAATTGTGTTTCTTCTATATATAGGGTTGAGGAGTTGAGCTCCAAGACACATTTGGTGTGGAGAGATGTAAGTTTGGAAGAGAGTTTATCTTTTCACTTTGAGACCATTTGGAGAGTTATCAGCTACAGATTGGTTGGTGATGATCGTGAAGGTTTAAAAATCATTCTAGTTGATTGAGGTCGTTTGTGGCCATTTGGGTAAACTACGTGAGGCTTGATTCCTTGGGCAAGAGGATACGTAGGCAGT